TTTACGTTTCTCCCTGCGTTTTTCTTTCGGTGGAAACTCAAACCTGTTCTAGTTGGGTAGGCCATATTATATAGTTAGGCCTTTAGGACAAGGGGTTGTATGTAGGTCAAAGTATATATCATGTTGTATAATGTTTATCATATATTAAAATGAAATACAAAGAAGAGATGTACCAAACCTAATTATTTGGGCATGTGAATTAGAATATGTGGGTAATTCTTCATTTCTTTAGTCTCCAATCCAATAGATTATGTTATTCTCCTATGTATGGATCACAATATCTCCTACAATTAACCTATGTGGGGAAAAAATCTTAAAGGGCTTAATTAATCCTATCCCTTCTAACTAGAGCATATATCATATGTAGGAGTATTGATTTGAATACATAGTTATGTTCCATTTTCCATATGTAACACCCGTCTTCTGTCTAGATATTTTGAAATATGGTTATTAAATAACTCGAACAATGATTTCATTCAAGAATAACTTGTAAAATGAAATAAGTAGAGTTGATTAGTAAAAAGGCATTTATAGATGAAAGAGATGAATTAAATTGATTGAAATGTGATTTACTAAAGTAAATGATTATTAAGCACATCATTAAGTTCAATGAATAATAAGAATTGGAATATTTAAGTACAAGGACTAAATGGTAATTTTTGTAAATCTATTTGTAAGACAAATTAGATTTAGTGTTTAATATGTCAACTTGATAAACCATAGGAATATTTTTGCCAGATTTTGAAACTTAATTGTCTCCTTCTCCATCAACATGATCAGCATCATGACTTCCTCAAATTTTCGTTTCCCATATTTGGACCTGCATATCTCGACTATTTTCGAAAGATAGCTTAAATGGATTTCAAGGTCTATAGGATAATATCGTATCGTTAAAATAGTAACAAAATTAAGTTTACTATGATGTCGAGATGAGTAATTTTATATAATTAAATTTATCTAAGGCCTATCCTATATTTAATTGTTGAAGTGAAATAGGTATATCCAAACAATCTAGACATTTATGGTATTTATTCTTGGCCACGTAGGAATATCTGGCGATCGAGTTTGACTTTTGGAGTTGATCATTCCTGGCTCAATAATAAAATGAAAATATATTATTGACGGCTCAGTCGACTCTGACCGTTGACTTTTTGATCGATTTGACTTTGGGTCAACCTTGGGTAGCATGGAGTATTTGACTAAGGTCTGGTATCGGTTTAACTTTAGGAAGCTTGGGTTGGTTGATCTGTTGTTGAGGTAGCTGTGAGCTTCTTTTGAGTAGTTCATGTGAGTTTCCTCACTGTGTTTGACGGGTCGAAGGCACCAATGCCGACCCATGATTTTTTTATGTTTTGGATTCTAAATGTCTACGTGACTCTTGCATGTGTTATATGCTTGTATATTTACTGGGCGGGGCCCGATGACCATTTTGTATGCTATTTATCTTGTGATTATTTCATGTGTTATGTGTTTATGTGTTTATATGTTTATATGTATACTTGGCGAATCCCGATAACTGACAGATCTGTATAGCGAGCGGGGCTCGATGTCGGGCGAGGCCTTATGATGGGTGGGGCCCATTATATGTTTATTATGTATGGTATGTGGTATTTTAAGGTAGCTCACTAAGCTTTGTGCTTATGATTTTCAGTTTATGTTTCAGGTACTTCCAGCACGAAAGGGAATGGCCCGGCTTGATCGCACCGTATCCACCCACATTTTCCGCATTATGTGATTTTGGGATTTTTGTACTCTGATGTTATTCAACTATGATACATTTTTCGGTTATTTGACATGATTATTGGATGCTTTGAAATGAATTTAAAATGAAATTTTTGTCTGAAATTTTTAGAATGTATCACCATAATAAAAGTCGAAATAGAGAACCAGTGGCGAACGCAAAACATTTGAATAGTGGTGGCACCAAAAAAATAATAGTGACACTCATATTTCGAAGGCGTTACACCTATAGAAAAATAAAATAAAAAATAAAAAAACTTATACTATAGGGTTGAATCAGAGTAGTTGCCCGGGATCCACTGTAACGCCCGCGTGTCTGGCTAAGCATTAATATTATGATGTAATACTTAGGGTCAACAATGGTAACCTATTTTGAAGTATTGAAGAGAAATTATTTGAGTATTATGTGATTTATGTGCAATATACGTGTTTATAACGATGTAATTAAATAATAATAAATATATGCGTCAAAAATAGAACGAAAATTTAACCCAAAATCTTTAAAGAAAAGTTGAAGTAGTCGTAACAAGGATTTCGGGGATATAAGGACCGCTAAAATCCGACTTATAACGAAGAAGTTATGACCCGTCGAAGTTTGTGCGACAAAACTGACACGACGTTGTGTATCGTAAAAAGTGAGTTTGCAATAGAATACTTTTTAGCCTTAGCGATCTAAACGAGAGTCATAGTATACGTTAAATCGAGAGTGTGCATATAGAGAATGTCCAAATCTGACTTCGTTAGAGGAAGTTACGATTTTTGTAAGATTTGGCATAGCAGTATGCAGCTCGAAATCGAATTTATGACAGAAGATATAAAGACAGACGGAAACGGACGTCGGATGACAAAGTTATGAATTTTTAACGGACTTTATATGTCTAAGTCTGTTAAAATATAACTTTAAAAATAAAGTCAAAATTAGCCGACGAAGTCTAAACAAAAGTTGTAGATCACGTCGTTACATACGCGTGGATATAAAGAACGTCAAAAACGGAGCTCGTATGTGCAAGTTACGGAATTTAGAAGATAATTAAATTATGGGTTAAGATGCGAGGCTGACACGTGGCACAATCCCAGTCCCACCTTTCTCCCCACGGTTCGCACCAGATCTCGACACGTGGCCCGCGTACGCCCAGCGTAGGGCCTGGTACACCCAGTGTACCGAGTACCCCCCGCGTTCTCCGAAGTTATGCCTCGCATAATGCGATCCCTCAGCCTATAAATAGAGGCATAAATCACCTCATTTCCTCACAACAAGACCATTCTTTCTCTCTCAAATACGCTCCTTAGCCCCTATCATTCCCTAGCACTTCCCAAGTGTTAGAGGCGAAGCCCGGAGCGCTAGAAGGCTCCGAGAAGAAGAGCTTTCGGCTCAGAAGTTCTGCCCCTGCAAAGTCTGGCTCCTAGCTAAAACCCCCTTGTAAGGGAGTTATGCTTACCCTACTTTAAGTGTAACTTATGTTTAAGTTCATTATCATTATTATGAACCTATAAACAAGACTTATCAATTCGAAGTCGTTATACTGATTGATCTTCTTACGGGAGAGGTGTCTATAATGGTCACATTGGGCTTGGTTGTTGGATTTCAGAAAAGCTATATGCCAAAATGGTCATGCCTCCCAACTGTCCTACCTGGGTGATCCTTACTTGATAGATTATGACGTAGACCTTGAGTTAATGATAAATCTAAACTAATAATTAGCCGCAATAAATATTAGACTAAAATCTAGTGATAATGATACTCGGTTTAGTCGAAAGAAAATAAAATTGTTAGAAGCGAAGCGCTGCCCGAGTTTGGAGTCATCACTTTAACAAGTGAGTGCATAATACTTTCATCTTACACATAGATATGAAGTATTTAATATAAATTACGTGTTATGTGTGCATATTGTCTGTGTTCTTGATATCTATGTTGGATGAACAAAATATACATGTTTTATTCGATTTAAACTGTATATGTATTTTATACTTATAATTATGATGGGTAAAGATGAGTAGATGATATAGATGATGAAATAAATGATGAGAGGCCTTGATGTGTAAGTTGATTCAGTCATCTAGCAGAGTATAGATGACGACCACGGGCTATTCTAGACAGTCCAGTGGAACGCTAGCAGACTCGCAACCTATAGGTGTTTTTGAACTACTTGTTCACCAGGTGTACTCCATCCTCCTCATGGTTGCCTTTTTGACATATATTGTTAAGGAATCCCCTAAGCAGTGTTGTCCATCCCGATGATAATCCTTAGGCTAGGTCCCTTAAATTAGATGTTTTAGGGACAAAAAGTGAGGATAACGGAAACAGGTAATAGGGTTGAATGATTTGATGAAATAAACAAAACTTAATTATTGTAGGTTGAAAATATTTTATGTGCTCACCAGGCTCCCAAGCCTGACTCACTCAGTTTCTTGTATTACATGTAGTAGCAATAGAGCACACGGGTGATGATCTGATGAGAGATCAATGGATTATAGACTATTAGAATAATAGATGTTGTAAGGTTTGTACTATTTCTGTTTATGCTTATGTACTGTATTTACAATGACATCCCAACATTTTTAATATTATGAAAACACATTTCTTCGGAAATGCTTTGATAATTATTTATCATATTTTTAGGAACAAATTCTGCAACATTATTCTTAAAAATGATACTCTGATTTTTAAATAAACCATAAACAAATCGGTCTTTTCTGACCGTGAAATTTGGAATGTCACCCCCCCCCCCCACCCGAGCACTACATAGGTCTGCCAATGCAGAGAACTATGCACATATTCGTGATAAGTTCTTACGTTGGCTCAATACATATAGATTTTCGTGGATGTTGGTATATTGATTAGTCGAGGATTCCTTTAACTCTCCAATTTAAAATAAGGACCTATTTAAATCTCCAATTCAAAATAAGGTGCCTATATGTTGTGCTAGAGACGTGTGTGGTGTCGTTTGAAGGTTTGTAATAAAATTATTTTCAAAGATGTTGAAGTCCTAATGAAAATTACTAAAGAAGAGAAAATCAACATTCTTTAAATTTCTAAATAATAAGTTATCACACGAAACTTGGTTTCTTAAGCATCTTTAAGTTTACGTTGATTTGGTTGCCCCTAATAGGTTTGGGTGTTACACATTTAGTGTTTGATCTTTCTACTTTCGTGTTAATTATCTTTCAGCTAACTTTTAGCTATTTATTTTTTGTTTATATTATTATTTATTTTTAATATTTTATTGTTCTCTGTTGTTTAAATAATTTCATATCTTATTTCATGTCGTGAGATATAAGATAATCTGAAGTAAAATATTAAATGGTATACCTAAATGAAATCAAGTTATGGAACGAAAACGAAAATATAATGTTACCTGTGGCTTCTTATCTTTATCAATTATCATTGCTCTAGGTCCCTGCATTTTAAAGTCTTGTGACTTGGGTTTTCAACAACGATATGATAATAGAAATAAAAATAAGAATAAATTACACGAATGGTCCCTATGGTTTAGGGAAATTTCTGCATTTGGTACATAATTTTTTTTAACTCGGTTGTTTGTTTTTGTTACGCGTTTGATCTTTGTCTTAACTAAAAATATTATTTTGCTCTTGATTTTTTAACTTATTTAAATAAACATAACCCAACCTCACCCCTCTCATCTTACTTTACCTACCTCACAAAATTTTTTCTATTTAAATAATAGTCTTTTTAGGTAAGACAGAGAACAAGCGCGTAACAAAAACAAACAATATGAACCTTCCGAGTTAAAAAAATAAGTTAGGAACCAAACGCGCAAATTACCCCAAACCATAGGTATCATTCATATAATTTACTCTAAAAATAGATAAATTTTACAAAGATACACGCCATACCTGTACAAAATAGATCTTGAAACATAGAAAATGGAAAATATTAACAAACCTCGTAAAAATCATCATTCACGGTTCTTCGTAGAAGATGACTAACAACAAGATGTTCACAAGCAAGGCATTGTTCAAGTTTTTTATGTCGGCCTTCTCTAATCTACAAATAGTTAGAAATAATTAACAACGATCAAACAAATTGCGATTTCTATTCGAAACATACGTCATTTTAGTTACCAGTTTTAATGCAAGTTTTAAGCATAATGGAGAAGCATGTTTGATCGATTTTATAGCATCAATAATCCACTTTTCATGCTTGCATGCGGCCAAATTCTCCTACATAGATGCACATGCAAATAATAATCTATATTGGCAAGTTAATATTGAGATAAAACAAGATTTTAGTGAAATCGCTAGTAATAAACATACCAATGATGATAATATATTTTCTACATCCTCTCTTGAGAAACATTCATTGATCATTTCCAGCCTACCAACGAAAATTTTGGTGTATAGCTTAATTACAATCACATCTTTTATTCAATATTAAATTATAAAAATTAAGTGTTTTTTTTTTCTCTTTTAAATTTAAACAAATAATTTAGATAAATAAATAAAAAAAATTAATGAATCTTTAATTTAGTAATTTTAAAATTAGAAGGAAGGTTCATTAATAAGTTGATATGTATTTAATATTGCATTTAAATATTATCTAGAATTTAATAAAATGAAAAAACCATAAAATGACACGTGGAATAAAATTTAATTTAAAATAACCACAAAATTATATGTGGCAAAATAAATGAGAATGTGACATATGGCAAAAATATTTTTATTTCTTAGAGATGATACTAGATATGTGCCCGCGCAAAACGGCGGCGATAAATCTCTTTTGCCGAATAGTTTTCTTACAGGGAAATTAGTATTGGATTTAATTATTAGTTATTATGTAAACAAAATTAGGACTTTTAAATAAAATATTTATGTTTAGACCTTATGTTTATATTGCATGCTTATATATTTAATGTAAATTAATTAATATTGGTGTCTAGTTTAAGAAATTTAAATTACTTTATATACATGAATTTAATACTTTAAAATTATCATTTTGCTTCAAATTAAATTTCTTAATAACCTTCCTTAATTTAAGTCTTCAAACTTTTGGCAAGTATTAATGATAATTATGCATATATGATTTGTATAAAAAGTTTTGTCATTTATACCTCTTAAAATTCAAGATATGACTAATATGCTTTATAATATAGTCTAATATATATATATATATATATATATATATATATATATATATATATATATATATATTAAAGAGTGTAAGAAAGGTATTGTGAAAGGGCTTGATTTCATTCACAGAATTGGATGCCTTATATTGGCAATTACACGTTTGGAAGGTACATAATTACAGGAGTAATGCTAGGAACTATAAACAGAAGATATTCTAGGTATTAAAACTTTACATATAGGATAATTGACTATACAATTGAAGTGGGTTATGTATAGATGGGTCCATTGGGCTCGATATCCTTAATACGCCCCCGCAAGATGGAGGATCCATCGGAGACTCCAAACTTGGATCTGTTTCGTAGAAATGGTGCCCGAGAGAAAGGCTTGGTGAGCACGTCAGCTAACTGATCGTGAGAGTTGATGTGAAGTACCCGTAGTAGACCATTAGAACTTTGCTCTCGGACAAATTGGTAATCAAGAGCCATGTGTTTCAAGCATGTGTGGTAGACAGGATTTGCACACAGGTATGTAGCACCAGTGTTATCACAGAACAAGGTAGGTGTTTACGTGATGGGTATGCCGAGTTTTGGTCAACAGGTTCTTGAGCCAAATAAGTTCATCCGAGGCATTTGCTAACGCTTTGTATTCCACCTCAGTTGATGAATGTGATACCGACTTTTTCCCTGTATACCTCCATGAAATAATGTTTGTGCCAAGGTATGTGAGATAAGTTGTAGTTGACCGGCCTGCACTGCGAACACCACCCCAATCAGAGTCAGAGAAGGCCAAGAGTGCGAGAGGAGAATTTCGATTGAGAAAGAGACCATGATGGATGGTTCCTTTAAGGTAACGAAGGACACGTTTGAGAGCTGGCTAGTGAGTTTGACGGGGAACATGCATAAATTGAGAAAGTTTGTTGATGGCAAAGGAGATGTCAGGACATGTAAATTCCAGGTATTGGACGGAACTACAAGCTTGCGATAGGGGGTAGCATCAACTGTTAGAGAACTATCGGTGACAGACAAAGGTTTAGTGGTGCTAAGAGGAGTCATGACATCTTTGGCACTATCCATGTGGAATTGGGAAAGAACATCGTGAATATCTCGGTGTTGAGAGAGAAATATATCGGTTGGTGTCTGGATTACTTCGATTCCTAGAAAATGGTTAAGTATATCAATATCTTTTAGGGAGAATTTTGTGCTTAAGGCAGAGATGAAGTGGTTTAGGAATTTGGAATCATTACCTGTGAGAACAATGTCATCTATATACACCAAAAAGTAACAGGTGGCATTGTCATGGTTGTAAATGAAGAGGGATGCATCAGCTAAGGATTTTTTGAAGCTGAATTGAAGGAGGAAGGTTGTAAGATCAATGTACCAAGATCTTGGAGCTTGTTTGAGCCCATAGATGAATTTCTTTAGTTTGCAGAGATGGTTAGGATATTGAGGGTGAATGTACCCTAGCGGTTGATCATGAAGACTTGTTCATGAAGGGTGCATTGGAGAAAGGCATTATTAACGTCAAGTTGACATAGTGGCCAATTTCTTGATAAGGCAACGGAGAGAATGGTGTGTATTGTGACAGGTTTGGTGACAGGGTTGAAGGTATCAAAATAATATTTCCCATATTGTTGAAGAAAGCCTTTGGCGACTAGGTGAGCCTTGTATTTTTCAACAGAGTCATCAGGGTGATGCTTAATCTGATAAACCCAATTACAATCAATGGATGGGAGTACAAGATCCAAAGTTTGATTTTTTATAAGAGCGTTAAACTCATAATCCATGGCACTATGTCATTTCGGATATTTGGAAGCTTGAGTGTTGGTTGACGGTTCTAGTGTGGGAGGAATAAGGTGAAGGGTGGTGGAGTTAATAAGGTTCGGATTATAGTATTTTGGATTGCATTTACGTGTCCGAGGAGGAGGGGATGGTGTGGATTGGTTATGTGAGGGTGGAGAAGGCATAGTGGTGTCAGGGGAGGCTGGTGGTGAAGGTGATGAAAAGGAAGGAAGAGGTAATGCGGGTGTAGGAGTTATGGAAATAGGTGGATTGGGAGGGGAGAGTGAGGTAGGATTTGGTAAGGGTAGATGAGTAGAGAGGATACAATGAGTACAAAAAGGAGTAGAAGAAGGGGTTGAGATAGGTTGAGATGAAGTGGGAAGAGAGTATATGAGGTCATCAGCTGTTGGAAGTGAAAGATAATTCAGATTATCTGTTTTGTATGGAAAGATGTGTTCAATAAACTCCACATGACATGAGTGGTAAAGGCGATGAATGAGAGATTTTAACATTTATATGCTGATTTTGAGGATGAGTAGCTAAGAAAAATACATTTAGCTAAACGGGGTTGTAGTTTGGATGAAGTATAGGGTCGCAACCATGGGAAACATAGGCAGCCAAACAGTTTGAGTTTTAGATAGTGAGGTAAGGTTTGGTGTAGCTGATCATATGGATTTTTAAGGTCAAGGATAGGTGTATGACGTCGATTGATGAGGTAGACTGCCATTTGGAATACATGAGGCTAAAAAGTGAGGGGCAGTTGAGCATGACGAAGAAGAGATACGCCCGTTTCTACAATGTTTTGGTGACATCTCTGCAACTCCATTTTATTCAGGGGTGTGCGGTGGAGTAGTGAAATGTGATATGTCATTTTGTTGGAGATATGAGGTAAGGCCAATGAATTCACCGCCATTATCAGTGGAGAGAGAAACGAGCGGGGTTTTGTGATATTTTCTAACCAGGTTTCAAAATTAAGGAAACAAGGTTGTAACAGGAGCCCAAACATAGTAAGTGTAACCGTAAGTAGAGGTTGTAACAGGAGCCCAAACATCAGAATATACAAGTTGTAGAGGTTTTGTAACTTTAAAAGAGTTTGCAACAAAGGGAAATTTATGACTTTTATTGATTGAGCATGCATCAAAATGAAAAGAAAAATCAAACATTTTATTGGTGTGAAGGCCTAAAGTACGAAGCAGAATTTTGAGAATTTTGATTGACGGATGTCCAAGCTTGTGATGCCAAGACAGAATGGACTTTGTGGAGGTTGTAGCAGAGTTTATTTGAGGTAGACTTCGAATGGAATGAATGGCTGCCTAGTAGATGTCATTGATGTTTACTCCCCGCATGAGACGCGCCCCCGTGCGTAGATCCTTAACCAAAAAATGATGGTGAAAAATTCAACAGAAATGTTATTAGCTTTAGAGAGTTTGGAAACAGAGACTAGATTGTTGCACATTTGAGGGACAAATAAGACATTATGTAAATGTAAGGGACGAGAAGGAGTGGGAAGAGTTGTGTGTCCAGTGTGAGAAATAGATAGAGCATTACCATTTCCTAACATAATCTCATCCGGTCCACCATACTCTGATAGGGTGTGAAACGAAGCAGGATTTGATGCAACATGATGAGATGTGCCACTGTCAAACATCCATGGTGAAGTTGGGGATGATGTGTTTACAGTTGGATTTGTGTGTGCATTCATAGATAGATTTATGTTGTTTTCTTTAGTAAAACAGGCTAGTTTCCTGCAATCTTTAGTTTCATGTCCATGAATGTGACAGTATTGACAATAGCTTGAGTTCTTGTTTCCACTTTGGAAATTGTTGTTGCTCGGATTTCCTTGAAAGCGACGTTGTCGGGTTCTTGTGTTATTGAACCTGGTTGGAGATCAAGTGTCATTGTTAGGCCTTTATAAAGATTGGCGATTGGAGTATTTTTGGGTGTAATTCACAGTGGTGATGAGAGATGCTAGTTGAGTTTCTTTCAAAGATCTTTCATGGTCAGATAGTTTGTTAAATAATTCAGGGAACGTGATGGGTGTTTCTCTAATTTTTAAAGCAGAGGAGATGTGTGTATAGTCGTCACCAAGTTGACTTAAGATGTGGACAACTAAGTCTTCTTCAGCAACAGGGCTCTGTGCTAGGGCAAGTTCATCAACAGTGTGTTTCATGTCATGGAGAAATTCGGTAACAGATCTTGCACCTTTAGGGTTATTAGCAAGTCGGGATTTTAGGGAGATGATGCGTGACCTGGACCCACTAGCATAGCTATATGTTAGTCGTTTGAATGCTTGGTGCGATGTCTCTGCAGAATAGACAATTGGTTGAATAGTGTCAGAGCAGCTTCCAAGTAAGTCACTGAGTAGAATCTGATCTTGACGAAACCAAGGGAGATACTCTGGATTCGGTTTTGTAACATTTGAAGGTAGTTGTTTTGGTGGAGGTACTTTGGATCCATCGACATAGTTGTCTAAGCCTAGACCAATTAGATTTGCAAGAACTTGTGTTCTCCAAACAAGGAAATTGCTAGAGGTAAGCTTGATTGGGAAGTGAGTGTGAGCAGTAACTTCAACAATGGTCGACAATGTGTTTGAAGAAGAAGAGGGATAGGACCGAAAAAGGGCTCAGAGGAGCAGTGAAGGCTCTGATACCATAAAGTGAAGGCTCTGATACCATAAAGAGTGTAAATAAGGTATTGTGAAAGGGCTTGATTTCATTCACAGAATTGGATGCCTTATATTGGCAATTACACGTTTGGAAGGTAACAATTACAGGAGTAATGCTATGAACTATAGACAGAAGATATTCTAGGTATTACAACTTTACATATAGGACAATTGACTGTACAATTGAAGTGGGCTATGTGTAGATGGGTCCATTGGGCTCGATATCATTAATATATATATATATATATATATATATAATATATATATAGATATATATATATATATATATATATATATTAAATTTAGGTGGATTTCATAAAAAAAATGTAAAGAAGATAAAATAGCTACCTGGAATTTGTCTTTTCTAGTTTATTGCTTCTTCCAAGTTCAAAGTTCTTAATAATCTCTGAAATTTTTGTTAGACTTCCGGCATTAGATGAAGTCATCATGCTAAGTGCATTTTCGAGTGAAGATAAATTCTGAAAAAAATCAACACAATAAAAACATATTCTTAGTGAGAGGTAGCTTATTAAATATATAATACATAAAGTATGTTCTAAAAGCTACACTCTTTCGTAATGGGGATTATCGAGATCCGAAATGACTAAATGAGTACTTATGTTGTCTGGTTAAAAATATCATGATGTGGATTGAATTACCTTTGAAAGTATAAAATGTGTTGCAAGACCACACTTAACCATTTCAATCCCATTCAATCGTACCCCAGTGAGTGCTACATATTCACCTATGGATTCCAACAAAAATTTTAGAATGGATAGAAAGACGGATATCAGATTGTAAATAATCTAAGAGGGAAGAAATTACCAAAATGACCTGGAAGTCGTGATAGGAAATTAGATGAACCAACATCTGGAACAGACCCTATTGATGCTTCAGGCATTGCGAATATTGTGTTTTCTGTCACGATTCTAAATGTTGCATTCATTGATAATCCAGCTCCGCCTCCCATCACGATTCCATCTAGAAGTGCAATCTGTTGTTTAATGGACAAGAAGTAATACAATATTAAGTGTGTTTAAAAAAGCTACGTTGTGTTTATTGAAGCCTTCAAGTTTTGTGTGCAATATCCTAAATGTTTGGATACAGATTTCATAGCAATATATTATCAAATGAATTTACTTAAATGTAAAAGCAACATCTTAAAAGCGTCACATCCCACTTAGGGTTGCATGGTTTTGGGAAGAAAAAAATATGATGAAAGTTCGAGCAAACTAACCAATGGTTTCTTGTATGTCCCAAGTAAGTAGTCTAGAGTGTATTGTTTCCGAAAGAAGTTAGCACCAAAACTCCAATGCCCTTGCCAAATCAAACAGAATGATATAACTTTAGCGCTACACATTTGTATCTTCTAAAAATTCTAAATCAAACAGAATGATATTAACTTTAGCACTACACATTTGTATCTTCTCAAAAATCTAAAGTTTCCACCAGATTTACCATTTAGATCACCGCATAAACTCTTTCCTCAAAAACACATTCTATAATTATATTAGCAGAACTAAAGGAAATGATTTTTTTTTGGTAAGTATGATGGTTTCCATTGATTATTATTACAATCATCAAAGAGAATATATATATATATATATATATATATATATATATATATATATATATATATAGCACCATCAAACATACCATAAATCAAATTATTGTTTTCTTATGAAAAGGAGAGAACATGATTTTCATAATAGAGGATGGACATTTTCTTTGCGACAAAACAAGAAGCAAAAATGAAATTTTAGAGATTTATTGTAACTCAAACAGTACCTGCACTTGTGAGCATCATAAGAGATGTAATATCCCCACCAGAGCAAAATGCTCTTCCATTTCCCTATCAAGTAAGTTTATTAAAAATCACAAAAATACTTGCTAAGGTGGTATATGTGTATTCTATGAACAAATCTATAAGTTTATTATCATATATGCAGTAATGGACACATATAAAAAAAATCCTTACCCAATCTCGAAACATAATTGCATCAATAAAAAATCATTTAGATTATCAACAAAGAAATTGTGAAAATGATTTGTTAAAAAAATCTAAACATAAAGTAAGATTGAAGTTATAAAAATGAAATATAAAAAATCATGTAATACAAAGTAAAAGAAAAATAAAGTTGTAAATCAAAATGTGAATTAAAAAGAAAAAAAACAGTAGAAAATGAAGTTGTGAAAAACGAATTATAAAAAACATGTAAAAATTAAAATGGAAAAAAATAAATTGTTAAGTTGAGAGAGAGAGAGAGAGATTTGTTTAGTTTAGATTAGATGGGAGGGCAGGTGGGGTATAGATGTGTCTTATAAACTTTTTTAATTTAAATTGTTTGTTAAATAATAGAAAATATAAAAAGTTTGAAAATTGACATATTAAGATTATTAACTTTTTTGTTTGTATACATGTTTAACTATTTTTTTCTTTTTTTACACATCTAAATAACTAACTTGTTGATAGTGTTCATATAAGATCATTATGATCGGCTGTAACAGGTTATATTCGGTCATAATAGGTATATGTGAACACTTCAACAAAGTTGTTACCTAAATGTATACAAAAAAGAAAAATTACCCAACTATAAACAAAACGAAAAAGTAATTACAACAATAAATAAATTGAGAGCGTGAGAACAATACTTTTATATTATTATTCAGCTATGAATTTAATATGTGTTGTATAGTCGTAATTATAATTATAATGTGAATATTAAACATATAGGTATTCATATATTCATTTTATGTTATTATTCTCGCTTTATTTGTTGTACTCATTTGAACCATTATATATATATATATATATATATATATATATATATATATATATATATAACAAGAGCAATGTTATCGATGTAGATAAAAGCTACTTTTATTTTTTGTAGTTTAAATTCCTATAATATATGGAGCAAACTTCATTGAAGATTGTGTTCTTCTTCATGTTATTGGTCTCCATCCCTGGTACTTTTAGTCTCTAGTAAAATTTTAATTTTTATATTTAGTATTTTAAACAATAAAATTTTATAAAACGACGATGTGTTTTTTCTATGTCAAATCTAAAGTTTTTTTTTTATATAAAAGTAGTGTATTTTAAAAAGATATTTACCAAGATAGTGTTGTTTTAAAAATATATACCACTTAGGTTAAGTTTTATATCAATCAAACTTAGAAGGTGAAATAAAAAAATAAAAGAAATTGACTTATCAGAGTAATTACGTTTCCGTTTTATTCATATTTGGGTAACTATTTTTTTGTACGCATCTAAGTAACGAACTTGATGAAAGTGTTCACATATGATTATTATGACCGGATGTAACCTGCTACAGCCGATCATAATGGTTATATGTGAACACTTCCAAAAAGTTTGTTACCTAGATGTGTACAAAAAATAAATTACCCAGATATGAACAAAACAAAAATAATAATTACCTTAATAAATCAATTTCTCTAAAAAGTTATAATAATTATGTTATAGTTATTATTGTTATTGTTGGCAAAGACTAAAGATGTAATAAAACCGAATTACAGAGGCCTTTTGTGTTTAAAAATATAGCTAAAGTCGATATATATCATTTTTTTATGCAAAAAATGATATAGAGTTAGACATTATCTTAATGATTATTATAGGAAATTTACTAATAATTTTAATAAAGTGATTCGTATATAATATTTTTTATGTATATAACAGTTTATGTTTAAAAAATTTTTACAATTTATATATTATACAACCATTTAAAATATAAATCGATGTATATAATAAAAAAAATGTACATATCAATTACTTTTTGTGTTGTTTTAACTAGCTACTTATTAATAAGTTTTTTTTGTTGTTTAACAAAATATAGCAATAAAATGATTGAGATTTGTTATATTATCTTATTTTATAAAAAATTGAAATATTAGTTTAAATCTTTAATTATTATACTAAATATAGACTAACTATACGCAAGAGACATATTTAACTTTATTGGTATTATTGACATAATTATTGTAGTTTCTTTATATGTATTTTATTGATGTTAGGGAGATTATGTTGGTGATTTTAATGTCGTGGAGCATTTTGTGTAATTGAAAATAATACGTGAGTTAATGGGCTTATAATTTGTACTCTATATTATATATTTGGTGGTTGTGGAGTGCATCCATATATAAGATCGAATGATAAGCAGGTACGACAAATGACGGAGTTCAAAGGGGCCGCACCCCCTTGCAGAGTCCTAGGGGCAGCGCCCCAAAAGGTCTTTGGAAATTTCAATTAGTAATATAATGGGAAATCCAAGTGTTTTCTGTGTTTCTCTCTCTTCTATAAAAAAACTCAGAATTCATCTGGCAATTTGGCTTATTTGTGACATCCCCATTTTCACGTCTAGAAAAAACCGATTTGTTTATGCTTATATAAAAATCAAAGTATCCTTTTTGAAGAATAATATTGCGGAATTTGTTCCCAGAAAACATGATATTGGTATTATCAAATCATTTCCGAAGAAATGCATTTTATTTATATTAAAACATTGAGATGTCATCGTCAATACAGAAACATAAGCATAACGAAATATTACAAGCCTTACAGTAATTAAACTAGTGGCCTAATACTCCTTGAATCTCTCAGCATAATGTATCTTTCATGTAGCCAGCCGTGATACAATAAACTTAGTGGGTCAGGTTGGGAAACTTGGTGAGTACATAGGGATTTCAATCCCACAATGTGATAATAATGTATATCTCAAACCTGCAAACCAATCTATTCATTAACACAGATATATCATATCTCTAAAACAATTTACCCCATCTCGTCGATTCCCACGTATAGATCCTATACAACGATCTTACAAGATCTAGCCTAAATGATCAATATGAACAACAAACTGACGACGCTGCTTCGGAAATTCCCTGGCAGCAAACGAGGATCAATAAATACATCCAATGAGGGGAATGGAACAAGTTTCACCACTAACATCTGTTCGTAAAAACAACCAGGCATTTAAGTCAGGGGGTGGTTATCTAGATAACTATGTCTAGCAGTGGTCTGACACCATGAGGTATTTTACCCCCAGACTCACCCTATCCGGCAATACAACATCAAACTTTGTCTAGTAGTGGTCTGACACCGTGAGGTATTTTACCCCCAGACTCACCCTATCCGGCAATAGAACATCAGACATACCTGGTAGTGGTCTATTACTGACACACTCTATTAGGCAGTCTACGAAGTTCCCTCAGTTACTTCGTGAAAGGAAACGCTGACACATGAAGCTCATCCGATCACTTCATAAAAGAAACAATGACTTCAAAGCTCTTCAAAATAAAAACGCTTGGGAAATACTAATAAAGTACTCTCGTATGCTCCCGTACCCCGACACACGATAGCGTAAAAAAAACTTTGTACCTGATAGTACTTATGGCACATTATAGTACCATGGAATGAGTACGACTCGTAAACTAGAACATAATAATACCCCAGCACAAGCAGCACCTAAGACACACAGCTTTGAAAAAGACTTGGTACTTAGAGAGTACTTTTGTACGTAGGACATACTCCACCGATCATCAATCTCCTCGAACACAATTTCTATTCTCTATTCTGATCACACACGTACCCTTAATAAGATACTACCCAATATTCAAACTTAATTGAACTAAGCATCTCTTTTAAGTCTTATTTCATCACTAAGCAAGCCTATAATGTTTATAATCAAATTTCAATACTAACTTTGTTACGACAACACTATCTTAATTTAGTGTAATATTTTATACAAAGTATTAAGTATTAACATACATTTATCTTCTCATTTATAATACTTCTATTATTATTATCATGTAAATACATCTCAACACATATAGAATCATGTCTGGTTCGCATAGCGTATATCATCAAATATACATATAACACATATTTCCAGATAATAAGCATATAACTCACATATAAACTTTCAACATATATTTAACACTTTTATTAATACTTGTAATAAAATCATATTCATGAAAGGGACTATGCACTCACTTGTTAGAGTGACGACTTGAAATTTGGGTAGCGTTTCGCTTCTAGCAACTGTCTTTTCCTTTGACGTAACCTAGCATTATTATCGCTAAGTTTTAGTCTAATATTTATTAGGACTAATTATTAGTCTATATTCATCATTAACTCAAAGTATACTTTCATGATCTATCAAGTAAGGAACATCCAGGTAGGATCATATCGGAGGTAGGGTCCGTTTGGTATACGAAGTATACTGTTCGGAAATCCCACTTTAAACACATCACTAAATCACAACCTAGACATCATCCCCGTAAGTAGATCAATCAGTATAACGACTTGGAATCACTGATAAATCTTGTTATTAGGTTCATAATAACTATAATGAACTTAAACATAAGTTATACTTATAGTAGGGTAAACATAACTCACTTACAAGGGAGTTTAGCGAGGAGTCGGTCTCTGCAGGGGCAGAACTTCTGAGCCGAAATCTCTTCTTCTAGGAGTCTTCTAGCGCTCTAGGACTTCGCCTCTAGCACTTGGGAAGTGCTAGGGAATGGGAGGGGCTAAGGAGGGTATTTGAGAGAGAAAGAATGAGAAAGGTGTGAGAAAAATGGAAGATTTGTGCCTTTATTTATAGGTTGGAAGCTCGGAGTACGTGGGGCGTAACTTCGGAGTACGTTGGGCGTACGCATAACAGGTGTCGCAATCCGGTGTGAAGCTGTGGAGAGAAAGGAAGGGTCCAGATCTTGCCACGTGTCAGCCTCACATCATAATCCGATAACTTAATTAACTTCTAAATTATGTAACTTTCACATATGAACTCCGTTTTTGACGTACTTTATATCCATGTGTAGGTAGCGACAGGATCTACAACTTTCGTTTAGACTCCGTCGGCTAATTTTGATTTTATTTTTAAAGTTATATTTTAACAGGGCTTAGACAGTTAAAGTCCATTAAAAATTCATAATTGTGTCATCCGACGTCCGTTTTCGATTGTCTTTATATCGTTGAGCTCCTATTAACAAGATCTTCAATTCTCATTTAGGTTGTGTCGGCTAAAAATTGATCAATCTAAAACTCGATTTCCGGGCTGCATACTGTAATTCTAAATCTTAGAAAAATCATAACTTCCTCAAACGAAGTCAGATTTGGACATTCTCTATATGCACAGTCTCAGTTTAACATATACTACGACTTTCATTTGATCACTAAGGCTAAAAAGTAGTTTATCAAAAAATCACTTTTCACGTTACTCGGAGTCGTGTCGGTTTAGTCGCGAAACTTCGACGAGTCAGAACTTCTTCGTTATAAATCAGATTTCAGCGTTCTTTATATGTACGGAATCCTTGTGACATATACTATAACTTTGGTTAAGATTATTTACTCTAAATAATTTTCTATCAAAGTGTCGTTTTTAACGCTTATTATCTCTAAATTGTCTAGCCCGAATCTGCGGGCGTTACATTATATTTCTCTGCCTAGATTCACAAGTGTCCTTTTGGATTATCCTTGACTGGATTTCCTGTGACCAGAGCATACGGTGGAAATATCAATTCGAAAAAGCGACCTTATGCGATCTATTAGGAATCCGATTCTCCACCACAACCATTTTCGATACTCTAATAGATTATTCGTAAAAATTTAGAAGTCTTTAATCTTAAATTTTATAAGTAGATCTTGTGTTGATCCTCCGTATGAATATGGGGCTATGAATTATGTTCTGAAGTCAACATAAATGAATTTTTATAACTACATTTCCGAAGAGTGTTTCTCGATGAGCCACTACCTCAAGTGGTTTATTTTTTGTCATTTTTTCTGGAAAATGAACTTCCTAACGAGGGTTTCCGGCCCAGATTCGCGCACCGACTAAGCCTCTGTTGCGAACATGAGGCTATGCCTCATACCCTAGAGTCACTGTAAGCGAACCTGCGTAGCCACAGGGGTTGAGTAGTGCTAAGATTATTTTTTTTTGTCATTTTATTGAGACATAATGATATTTGTCATATCAAAATTAATTTTTATTTCATTCCACATATATAAATAGAGATAAAACAAAAAATGATAAAATCTAAAATATATAAAGTGTGAACTTTCTTTGACTTGTAATCAAATATTGTTTTGGTTGCAAAGGATAAGTATTTAACTCAATAGAGTTAATCAAAGATTAATTGGTAATGTGAATACGTTCAACTTCACATTACTATTGTCATGATCACACATTCTCACTGATTAAATCGTCTATAAGGGTATTGTAGACTTTTTTTATGATTCTCATTCTGTCAGAATGTGTTATTGATAATCGTATTTTGTAAAAATGAAAATGAGTGAAAAACGATATATGAGAACAAAAATGAATAAGAATTATTGGGAATGCATGATAATGACGATAGTTGTGTGAGGTTGAACATATTCACATTATCAAACAACATATTCTCTTAGTTATTCTAACAGAATAACACTGTCCGCACAATAGATGTTCATCCACATTTGAACATATATATATATATATATATATATATATATATATATATATATATATATATATATAATATACCACTTTCACACATAAACCTTATTATTTTTTATACTTTTTTAACACCACAAAGATGAATTTTTTTCAAAATTTAGATTCAGATGATAACGGTGAGTTTATGACAACATTCTTTAATGTTGGACAAAATATTGTCAATGAAGATTGTACGAATGCTAGTAATATAAGAACTTTGATCAATCGAGATCATCAAGCTACACATGAATTTTTTGGTACGTGATTATTTTGTTGATAATTGTCTTTATGATGATGAAGCATTGGAACATCATTTTCATGTTAGTAGAGTAATATTTTTACATATTAATAATTTTTTAGAGTTATGATATGAATTTTTCCAACAAAGACCAGATGCTAGATGTAGAATGAGTTTTAGAGCTATACAGAAATATACGGTTGCACTTAGGTACTTAAGATATGGAATAGTCTATGATGCATCAGACAAGTATTTAAAAATATCAAAATCGACGACAATTGAGTGTGTAGATCATTTTTGTGCATGTGTTCATGAAGTTTTCACAAAGAATATTTGCACAAAACAACTTCATGTGATATTGACATATTGTATTGGGCACATGAAGTGAGACATGGTTTACCAGGATTAATCAGTAACTTTGATTATACACATTGGATATGGGAAAAACGTCTAAATGCCTAGCACGGTCAATATACCAGAGGTGATATAGGTGAATCAACTATGATAATGGAAGTTGTTGCATCTCGGGATTTATTGATTTGGCATGCGTACTTTAGGGTTGTAGGGTCTAATAATGATCAGAATGTTATTGGTCGGTCCCTAATTTTTAACGATATATAGACCGTGCGAGCACTTGATATGTCCTTCACGGTGAAAAAACATGATTACAAACACGATTACTACCTTTGTGATGAGATATATCCAAATTACTTCACCTTTATGAAGGCATATGCAGTACCTCAATCTGAAAAAGGCAAAGATATTCACAAAAGCAATTGAAATTCAAATGTTGAAACGTGTAGTGAAACTCCATGCACGACTCTGATATAACGAAAGGTTATAGAAAATAATGTATACATGTACTTTAATGCATAATATGATGGTTGAATATGACAGATATAGCGATTTGCATGTACAACGAGAACGACATAGTTAACCCACATCAACAATTCATTCCAGGTTGTACTGAATTTTTAATAATAGTAATTGAAATTCAAAATGATGAAACATGACAATATCTTCAAGAAGTCCTAGAGGAACATCTATATCAAAACAACATGAACGAACAATAATAACATCTTTGATTTATATTTATTTATGTAACTTTATTTTATGTAATTTTAGGATTATTATTTGAATGTTTGGTACTTTTCTTTTCTAGGTTTTTTATTTTAGTTGCTTAGGTTTTGGTGTTTTTTAAATTTATGTAATGTAATGTTTTTATTTTAAATAAAAATCTAAAATTTTAATTACATTTTTATTTATTTTTAATTAAAAATATTATGTATAGTGATGGGTATACCAATCTAATGTGGTGGTATGAGATGGCACCCCACCAAATATGTCTTACGGTAACCATACCAGATGGTCATCTGATGGTTGTAAAAATTCCACTTTCTTACTTATAACTCGTTATATTTTCTTACCTTTAACATCAAGAACTTGATTGTTGGATCATTTTCATACACTTCAAACATCTTTAACAATTGAACAATCTGAAGAAAAAAAGGTATAAGTGTTACTCCATATATGTGCATGCTCCATATATATGAATACATTATCAAACACTTAGAGCATAGAAACGTACAACTTGGTAGTTAAGGCAATTTAGTTTATTTGGCCTGTTTATTATCACCTTCTTCCCATTGGATATATCTACGGAGACAAGCTGTCAAAAAACCAAAGAATTATGGTTTATGGCGATTCATGAACATAACAATACTTTTAAATAATTATTAGTATTTATAAATCTAAATTTTCCAAAAGGATCTCATTTATTGTTATCATACAAAAATTGAACATATTGTGAGAATTCATAAAGTTTAACTTATATAAAAAAACGAATATGTATCAGGTTATGGAATTTAAGCTTATGATAATGAGTATCCAATATACTCCTATAAAGGTTATCTTTGTTACACTTTCCTCCTAATAGAGACACAATACTTTTAAATAATTTTTAGTATTTATAAATCTAAATTTTCCAAAAAAAATTCTTCTCGGTATCTCATTTATTGTTATCATACACAAATTGAACATATTGTGAGAATTCATAAAGTTTAACTTATATAAAAAACGAATATGTATCAGGTTATGGAATTTAAGCTTATGATAATGAGTATACAATATACTCCTATAAATGTTATCGTTGTTACACTTTCCTCCTACTAGAGACACAACTACCTCCAAATATTTGTTGCTAGTAGCTCAAACTCCAATATTAGATTATGTTTTAGTCAATTCAATGCACCTAAATACTTGGAGGTGGTAGAGATATAATTACCTCCGATGGATGATTTGTGATGACATCATCATCGATATCCATATACCTTTCTGGATTATCCTCCCACCATGAGAAAGACTCGACCTTGAGCCGGTTTCATGATCATAATTGCCTACACACAGGGATAAATCTACAACATGAAGGATCATCCTCCCACATTGAGAAAGACTCAACCTCGAGCCTACTTCATGAACATAATTGCCTACATACGGAAAAAAATCTACAACATGAAGGATGGTCGAAATATTATAGTAGCGATAGTTGGATCATATATGCATCGTCATTAATCTGTTTCAATACTCACCAAGGACCACATGTCCTTTGGAAAATAGATCGACACAATATCACACTCCCTTGTAAAGAACCTTTCTTTTGATGTTTGTTTACTCGATTATGATACTACTCATTTTGTCACATAATCTGGGCAGGTACTTATTGGTGTTGTTGGAAATAGTGTGCGAAAAACAGTGAATTAACTATGATGTTATTTGTATTAATATATATATATATATATATATATATATATATATATATATATATAATATATATATATATATATATATATATAAAGTCACACTAAAGAGCATTAAAATAGAATAAATAAATAATAATAATAATATATAAATAATGAAATAATAGTTGTTTATTGTATATTGGTCAAAAATAAATAAATAAAATAAATGGTTTATTTATTATAAGATTAAATAAAAATGTTTAAATTAATTGAAATGCTAAGGATAATTAATTATGGAATTAATTATTCATAGATTTGGGCTTAATACTCATAAGGTAAGTTTAAGTGTAATGGAATTCCACCATATAAAAATTTAATGGAGCTTTTGGGTCATAACTAATAAGACAAGAAAAAAACACATACAACTCTAAAAGCTCCTATTTACCCTTACTTATTAGAGACGACAAAAACGTCTATCCCTTCCCTTTGGTTTGTTGAATTTAAGCAATGAGCAAGGAAGGTTGGAGGTGATATTGGTGGTGTAACATATGTCTATTTATGCTTTGTATGGATCAATGGTAAACATTACCTAGATTTGGTGGTTGTTCTCCAACATATGTAAATTGAGGTGGTAACTCTTAATATCCTACGGTTGCAAATTGATAATCCAGTTATTTATCTTTGAAATAGACCCATGGTTATTCAGGAACAAAAGTATTCAACTATTCTTTTGCTTTTGTTGCTATGATTATTAAATTGTTATTGATAATCAATCCCCAATAGATGTAGCTTTTTAATCTACATAGACTATTTTACCGTTTAATAATTGAAAAGATTGAGAATGGTAATTGGTGTTAAGTTAAGTAGGGTAAACAGATCACAACCACACTATTAAAAACATACATATTCATGTCGTGCAGTTGGTGAATAGTTATATGTGAACTCAGCTTGGGTAAACATGAGGCGCCACTTTTTCCGATGTTTCCAACTGGACTTCCTAATAGGCTTCCTAGACTTTGATTTACTTCTTTGCTTTGGCTTTCTGTTCACAAATTGTGGAGCTACCAAATTGCAGTTTTGAATCTATAAATTTACAAAGGGTACACCATAAGTGATTCACAAACAAAACATCCTTGGGTCTCATTCCTATATGATGATTCCTGTTGTGCAAAAAATTTTGAGAAAATGGTCGCCCATGAAATTGGTCAAGTAACTCATAAAATCAAGGAAGGAGAAAAATGTAATTGCTATTTTTTACCGATCAACTATGAGTACACATTTGGAAAATGCCCCAAGTTTTGGTACCAACAAGGAAAGTACGATGCAGAGTCTCATGTGGTATATATCTCATCAAAGGTAATTTAGGTGTAAATCCTTCAAGAAACATGTCAATAAATTCACCCAATAAAGGATATATTAGGGGATATAATGATTGACTGTAGTTTTGATGGGCTTCATGATCATGTGTGAGGATATAAGGGTGTAACACCCTGCTTCAGGTTATTTCTTAATTCAGGGTTGTGGACCGAAATTCAATCATCTAAAGGCTTTGAGCTTTGAGGAAGTAAAGTTTAAACCTTGTTGACGGTTGATAATGTTGGTTGTGAGATCTAAGCCCTTAATTTGTGTGCTGGAACCAAATGGTAGAAAGGGAAAAGTTAAATGGCAGGCTTATTTCATGGATTAGGGTTTTAGTTCGACATGTGTTAAGCCAAAAGTAACTAGATAGAATTATGGGGCTCTTCAATACCTTTCTGTGTGTATAAAGAATGTTGAAAACGAAGAAGTTATGGTTGTTTGAAGTTAAACTGGAAGATAAGGGTTGTGCCCTACGCAAGGCGTAAGGCAGCTACGCATGGCGTAGTGGCTGATGGAGAAACGCGTTTTTAATGAACAATGCATGGCGTAACTCAAGTTACGCAGGGCATAACTGCAGTTGACAAAAACCCTAATTCTAAGGTTTTGAACTATGTTTAAGGACTCTAACTTCATTGGATCCCTCCCATAACCAGCCTCCATCACCTCATACCGTTATTTTGAAACCCTAGCCACCATTTGTGAGTCTTGGAGCTTTTAGTGTGTTTTTGGTTGCATTTTTTATGAAAGGAGTCCATGGAAAAATCTTTGGTGAGCTTCAAGCATTGTAGATCCAGACCTTGCACTTCATCAACATTCTACAGGAGGTATAAAGCTTGCATCTTGATGTTCCTTTTGTTAGATCTAATTAGGTCATGGGTTTTTATGCTTTTTGTCCCATAATCTTGGTTCTTGTGAGTATGGGTTACTCCAGACCATGTGAGTGCCTCCTTCTAATGTTTATGAGGTTATTGAGTCATAAAAATGAGAGCTTCGGCACTCTCATTCATCCATGCATGAGTTCTTGAGCAACGGATAACTTTATGGACCTAGGTTTTGGTATTGTGCTCTTTGTGACCATGCAAATGGATAAAGTCAGAGACTTTATCCATTAAGACATTCATTTAGATCAAATCTAGGAGTTTGATAGTTTGGTTTGTTTTATTAAGAGCTTAATAGAAGTTTTTGGGATCAGGGGCACTACACAGGGGGTAGATTAGTTATGCAGGGCGTAAGTCAACTAAGCGATGATCATTGAATTTTTGGTCGGTTTGACTTTTGGACTTAGTATTCGAAGCGCAAAATGGTCTTTTGCCCAACGGAGGTTTAATTATGAGCCTAGACCTTTCATGGGTAAGTATTTTCCTTAATTGTTAATTAGGGTTTTATTATGGATATGTTTAGCAAGAGGAGGCTTGATATCGTCGACTCGAGTGGGTGGTATATCTTGTCTTCAGGATTAAGGTTGGTCTTCTCACTATACTGTTGGGGTCAAATGCACCAATGTCGACCCACTGGATTATGTTTGTAGGATGCATGTTGTCTTTGTGACTCTTTCCGATATGCCTATATGTTATATGTATGTAGGGTGAAATAGACTTGGGGGTGAAATAGACCCGTTCAGTTGAAAAACACATGTTGAGTTGAAATAGACTCGGGAGTGAAATAGACCCGGGGTGAAATAGACTCCTTACAGCTTCGAACTGATATGTGTATGGTATGCGGTATTTTAGGGAACTCACTAAACTTTATGTTTGCGGTAATGTGGTTTAACATTTTCACGTACTTCCAATTCCAAAGGGAATGACCCAACTTGACTGCACAACATCTCCTAATGGCTTTTTTCATACTAATTACTTTTGATTTACTCTGATGTTTAAGTAAAACTTTTTATCATGTCTGGTTTTGGAATAAATGGTTGTATGACTTAATGGTTTTAAAAGAAAATTTTTTATCGATATTTTTTGGACAATACAAAGGGGTTGGAGTGAAGAGTGGCTACTCCTATAAATTCAAAATGTGTAAGAACTAACAAGCCAAGTGACTCATACCTCATATCAAGAGGGGCCAACATAACATTTACCCCGTCCTTATTCAAAATGTAAGTATTTTGGAACATATCATACTTGTTTTTTCGATCATATTTTTATGTCATCCTTAGTAGGATATGATATGCATCAATATGAATTGCCTTGAATCACACCTAATCTTCATACATATTTTTTATCGAGGAGTAGACTAAGCATCTTTTTCTAACCTTAACAAAGAATTTATTCTTTATCCATGTCATTTGGTACGATTTTAAATGACCTTCCCAATCGAGTCCAAAAATTTTGACCATTTTATAGCTACTACATTCTCACTGATTCCTTGGTACTTGAAACAACTATAACATCCTGTTTTGAGAAGTTTCTGATTTTCGGATTGTGGAATATAAATGGATTGAGTAAAGGCCTTGGGCTTCAAGGGAATGGGGTTTAGACCTTATTGGATGATGATAATGTTGGTTAAGTGATTAAAGCCTTCGATTTGTGCTTGGAAAAAAAGGGTAAAAGGGCAAAAGTAATAATTCGGGCTTCTCACATGGATTATGGTTTTAGTTCGACATGTATTAAGTCAAAAGTAATTAGATAAGGTTGTGGGGCTCGTAAATATTTTTTTTGTGCATAGAAAGATCTTTGAAAACGAAGTTGAAACGAAGAAGTTATCATTGTTTGAAGTTGGAATGGAATTTGGTGAAAACTCGTTCTCACGAGGTGAGAAGTATATTCTCACGATGTGAGGAGCCTGTCCTCACGAGGTAAGAGGTCTATTCTCACTACGTGAGAACTGTGCATCCCAAACCTATGAATTTTTTAGGGTTTCAAGGTATTTAAAGGTAAGGATTCATGTTTTAGGGTATTTTCTTAGCCTCCATCATATCTATAACCCTTTGGGAGAACCCTAGCGTCCATTTTCAAGATTTGAGCCTCCCCTCTCCTCTCTTATCCATTTTTTTAGAGTTTTTGGTGATTTTGGAGCAATGTTTTCATACAAGATTAATCATTGAAGCTTGTCAATTGAAGATATCAACTTTCATCTACCTTCTAGACCTTTGTAAGTTATAAAGTTCCAATCTTTATTGTATTTCATCTTGGATTTAAGTGTATTTGGTGTTTTTGGTCCATTTTAATGAGTTTTTGAGTGAGAGTTGAATAAAGTTTGCAACTTTATTACTCTACAAGGTCCCACT